AAATGGCTGCAATATAACAAAGAGTGAAAAATTTAAGGGGGTCTGAATACTTTCCGTACCCACTGTATATATATATGTATATATATATATATATATATATATAAAAAACAAAAAGTACCGATAAGAATACCGTTAAAGTACCGAATCGATAAGCAGTATCGATAAGAGTAGTAATACCGTTAAAACCTTAACGATACCCATCCCTGGTTATGGGACATGTATAAGTGTGTCTTGAATGGCTTTTCAAACTCAAGCCCCTATCAGCTGGAATATTTAGAGGTAAAATGCCAGATGGACGTCCAAGCTAATATGTGAAGTATTTTAGGCTTCCTACCAACAGTCCTGAAATGAGGCAGATTACAGTAGGAAAGGCAAGGAGGTTGATGTAAAATATTTGTGGAATTTTAGTACTCCATGGATTATTTTGCATGAACTCTTTTCTTTCTGTCTGTCTAGATGTTTCTGCGCAGGAGCAACCAGAGCTATTTCTCAAGAAACTGCAGCAGTGCTGTACTCTGTTTGACTTCTTGGACACGCTGTCTGACCTCAAAATGAAAGAGTATAAGCGGTCCACCCTCAATGAGTTGGTGGACTACGTCACCCTCAGCCGGGGCTACCTGACTGAGCAGACCTACCCCGAGGTGGTCAAAATGGTGAGATTAGTTGCACACTATGTGACTGGAAAGTTTCTGTGGTTGTCTAATTTATATGCCTATATAATTCAGAGATAGCTCAAGTGTTCCCTCTTTTCATTTGTCACAGGTGTCCTGCAATATTTTTCGGACTCTTCCGCCTAGTGACAGTAATGAGTTTGACCCAGAGGAAGACGAGCCCACGCTGGAGGCTTCATGGCCACACTTACAGGTAGAGAGCCACAGCCAGCATCAAATAAATAGGAATTAAAGGGTTAGTTCACCCAAAAATTACACCATGTTTTATTCGCCCTCAAGGCATCCTAGGTGTATATGACTTCTTTTAGACGAATCCAATCGGAGTTATATTAAAAATTGTCCTGGCTCTTCCAAGCGTTAGAATTGGGGTAGGCGGGTGTTTTTGTTCAACAGTCCAAAAGTAGTTAAATAAGGCGCATCCATCAGTAATAAAACTTGCATCACTTGAGTCAGTTTGTTTTACTTTGTTTCTTTGTTCATGTTCTTACTTTATCTTATGTATAAAACACTAAAAATGCCTGCACACTGGTGCATTTACAAATTGATGTTTTATATTAATTTCATTAAATGTTTATTTTACATTTCAGAATATAAAGCAATGTTAATTCAGCTCTTAATTTGTCATATATATACACTGAACAAAATTATAAACGCAACACTTTTGTTTTTGCTAAATTAAACATTGAAGAACAGTAAAAATTATAATGAATATGTTATATTGTGCATATATTAAGCAAAATGCCCCTCTCTACAGTTTATTCTTCTATCTGACTGAGTTCATGGTCACCTAATGTTTTTTCTGACGTAAATGTGACATTACATGACATATTGTTTACAAGCAGTTATATTGGAGTCTTTGCGCGGCTGAAACACAGATTGAGCGATTACATGAGACAGGATACGGATTGTAAAGTTATACTCTCTACCAAAGCACAATGCTTATTGCGATTTACTTTAGAAGTACCCTTCAATATTCCGTCCATTAACTGAAAACAGGCTAGACTAATCGATTCTTGGGATTTAAGAATCGATATCGTTCTGTAAAAATGAGAATCGATTAATATCGAGATATCTATATGTTTTTACCCAGCCCTACATGTCACGTGACTAAGGTGAATCAAAACATCGGGGCGTTTCACAAGTGTTTCGAGACCCGAATCTGCTTTTGATTGACAGGGTCGGGAACAAACCACACAATCGCACACACACACTGTCTTAACCTAACTCCCGCAAAGTATAAAAAAGTGGAATAAAAAAAGTATAAAAGTGGAGTTAATGCAGCAGAACAGTTAATATATTTAAATAAAAATCTTTATATGTAAAAAAATGCCAGGCGTTGTGGCTTGATGTCTTTTATTAATGTTAATTTTTTCATGACCAAAATAACATTCACAAAGAGTTCATTCAGTTGTCAGAGAGATGTTACAACACATTACAAGAACAGAACAATAAAAACACAACTTTCAAATATTTATTATAATTATATGCATGCTTGTATATCCGGGATTCGAACCTAAAGTAACAGGTTCTGACAACATGCCAATCGTGCACACTAACCACTCCCCCAACCCACATGGCGGTTTGACGAGCACAACATATACGTTATAATCTTCTTAAACTTCGCTTAACTGATTCGTTGTCAATGCTGTTTCAGAGCAATACTTGAAAATGACCACTAGTTGTCACCGTAGGGGCGGGTGTCGAATTGTTTCAAAGCCTCGGCACATTTGCTTCGACTGTTTCAGTGTTTCATGAAGCCTCGCTCTGCCCACCACTACTGCCAACTGTCGTACACACGTTCACGAGAGACTGCTTTTCCGGCTGATGACGTAGGCGTAGCGCATGCGCGCGAGTCTTACGAAAACCAATGTTTGTTTACAGAAGCAAAGGAAGCAAAGTTTCCTTACTTTACCAAAGGAAAACCAGTCTCCTCTTGGCTTATATCGAAATCCTCATCTGAGACTTTGTTTCATATGAAAACTACCAAAGCACAATGCTTATTGCGATTTACTTTAGAAGTACCCTTCAATATTCCGTCCATTAACTGAAAACAGGCTAGACTAATCGATTCTTGGGATTTAAGAATCGATATCGTTCTGTAAAAATGAGAATCGATTAATATCGAGATATCTATATGTTTTTACCCAGCCCTACATGTCACGTGACTAAGGTGAATCAAAACATCGGGGCGTTTCACAAGTGTTTCGAGACCCGAATCTGCTTTTGATTGACAGGGTCGGGAACAAACCACACAATCGCACACACACACTGTCTTAACCTAACTCCCGCAAAGTATAAAAAAGTGGAATAAAAAAAGTATAAAAGTGGAGTTAATGCAGCAGAACAGTTAATATATTTAAATAAAAATCTTTATATGTAAAAAAATGCCAGGCGTTGTGGCTTGATGTCTTTTATTAATGTTAATTTTTTCATGACCAAAATAACATTCACAAAGAGTTCATTCAGTTGTCAGAGAGATGTTACAACACATTACAAGAACAGAACAATAAAAACACAACTTTCAAATATTTATTATAATTATATGCATGCTTGTATATCCGGGATTCGAACCTAAAGTAACAGGTTCTGACAACATGCCAATCGTGCACACTAACCACTCCCCCAACCCACATGGCGGTTTGACGAGCACAACATATACGTTATAATCTTCTTAAACTTCGCTTAACTGATTCGTTGTCAATGCTGTTTCAGAGCAATACTTGAAAATGACCACTAGTTGTCACCGTAGGGGCGGGTGTCGAATTGTTTCAAAGCCTCGGCACATTTGCTTCGACTGTTTCAGTGTTTCATGAAGCCTCGCTCTGCCCACCACTACTGCCAACTGTCGTACACACGTTCACGAGAGACTGCTTTTCCGGCTGATGACGTAGGCGTAGCGCATGCGCGCGAGTCTTACGAAAACCAATGTTTGTTTACAGAAGCAAAGGAAGCAAAGTTTCCTTACTTTACCAAAGGAAAACCAGTCTCCTCTTGGCTTATATCGAAATACTCCCACATTTTTCTTTACAAATCCTCATTTTGTGCTTCTAATTCGTGACTGGCGTTATGTTTTGTTCTCTCTCCGTCACGCTTCCGCCTTCGTCACTAATCACTGCCGTGTGCGCTACGCATACGTTTTATGTCATCCACCCGGAACGGCGTCCGCCTACGACAGTTAGGAGAAGTGAGAAAAAGGTCGTTTTAAATATGGATAATTTTCGTACAAAAATGCATCAATCCTCTACAGGAGGCCTTTATTCACCCCCCGGAGCCGCGTGAGGCACGTTTTATTATGGATGTATGCGCTTTATTTAACTACTTTGGGATTGTTGAACAAAAACACTCTCCTAACCCCATTCTAACGCTTGGAAGAGCCAGGACAATTTTTAATATAACTCCGATTTGAATTAGTCTGAAAGAAGAAAGTCATATACACCTTGAGGGTGAGTAAAACATGGACTAATGTTCATTTTTGGGTGAATTAACCCTTTAATCACCTTTTTAAAAATGTAATGCAGATAGAAACAGACAAAGGTCTAAAATGTTTTTAAAAAATCAAACAAGTTTGAAATTATTGCAAGGTTTCATTTCAACGACAAGTTTTCTGATCTCTCTCTTCCTTTTATGCTTAAGCTCGTTTATGAGTTCTTCATTCGCTTCTTGGAAAGTCAGGAATTTCAGCCCAGCGTTGCCAAAAAATACATCGACCAGAAATTTGTATTACAGGTGAGTGATTGTCTGTGAAATGTTCTTTGACTTCTCATCCTAGTATCAATCAAATGAAGCCAGTATTGCCAGTAAAACAGCACAGATATAGCTGTCTGAATACTTGATTCTGATTGGTCAGTAGTGGCTTTTTTCTTTCAAATATTTTTGTGTAATTACCACTAAACTGTACAGTTGACTTTTGTCAATGATAAGAGTCAATGTATTAAGAAAGGTAATATGTCTTTTTTTAGAGTGGTACACATTGCTAATATAGTTAATAAAACTCCTCATGTGAATTTCTAGCTCTTGGAGCTGTTTGATAGCGAGGACCCGCGAGAGAGGGACTGCCTGAAGACAGTTCTGCACAGAATCTACGGAAAGTTCCTCGGCCTCAGGGCCTTCATCCGCAAACAAATCAACAACATTTTTCTTTGGTAAGTAACTGTCAAGTGTTTTTGTTGCGAATATACTAGATGAAATATTACGTTATGCTGATATATCTTTTTATTTTATTTTTTCCCTCTCCTCTCCTGCCCTGACAGTTTTGTATATGAGACAGAGCACTTCAATGGTGTAGCTGAACTGCTGGAGATTTTGGGAAGGTATGTCATATTTTAGGACCCATTTTTGGTTGGAAGTGATGTGGAGAAATTTAAATCAGGAAATAAAGAGCTTGGAAAGACATGAAGGGTGACCCACAGAGGTCACATTCTTGTTTTATTTTACTCCACCCTGTCCTCAGTCCTGAGGCATTTAGAAGTTTGTGTCCCCTGTATATTATCAGTTTCTTTCGTGGTTATCAATGTCAGATCAAAAGTCTCGCACATCTCTGGTTTTACAGCATCATCAATGGTTTTGCGCTTCCTCTCAAAGCTGAGCACAAACAGTTCCTGGTGAAAGTGCTGCTGCCTCTGCACACAGTGAGGAGCTTGTCTCTCTTCCATGCCCAGGTACAGACACTCAGCTGTTTGTTACTTGTACACATGTGTGTGTTTGCTCGCTTACATTTCAGGGGCAGAAGAAACAGATTCCTTGTTTCCATGCTTGTTTATGACAGTTTCTGAATCTAAACATTTGAAATGCATTTATGTTAATCTGAAGTAATCTCTTCTTCTAGTTGGCCTATTGTATTGTACAGTTCCTAGAGAAAGATCCCACGTTAACAGAACCTGTGAGTGTTGCTTGTCACCATTATCTTCCTCATTCTTAATCAAGTTCCATCTTGTTTCAGCTCGTTTCTAAAGGATTTTCACTAGTTGGCTTCATTGTTTTTTTGTAGGTTATCAGAGGCTTGTTGAAGTTTTGGCCAAAAACATGCAGTCAAAAAGAGGTAATGCCTTAATTTTATGAAAAGTTAAGTTAATCCATTGTCCATTTTTGTGACTTGATCTCAGAATTAAACTCTTTAATTGTTGCAACTTCTACCAAAACATAATGGCCCGGTTTCACAGACGGGGCTTAGTTTAAGCCAGGACTAGGCCATAGTTCAATTAGGATTTTAAAGTAATTTTTATAAACATGCCTTAGAAAAAACATTACTGGTGTGCATCTTGAGACAAAACAAGGGCACTGACATATTTCAAGATCAATCAGTGCAAGTTTCTTTCAGTTGAAACAGCTCAGACTTACATTTTAGTCGGGGACTAGGCTTAAGCCTTGTCTGTGAAACCAGGGGAATATATTTTAGCAAGTGAGAAATACTATGATTTCTTCCACTAAATTACTTCATTTTTTTTTTTCCAAGAGAAATGCTTTACATGCTTTTCCTAAATGTTTTTGTACCCTTGACTGCATTGTTTTCTTTTGTAGGTTATGTTTCTTGGAGAGTTGGAGGAGATTCTAGATGTGATTGAGCCCACTCAGTTTGTTAAGATCCAAGAGCCACTCTTCAAACTGATAGCTAGATGTGTGTCCAGCCCCCATTTTCAGGTAAACACACCCCACCCTAAATCTTCCTCACAAACCTTGTGATGTCTTGTAATAGCCAGAAACTTAAACATCCCAAAACATTCCCATCACTGCAGCATCACAGGTTCTCTATTTTCTGTTTACTAGTGAGAGGAACCGTGCTCCATATTTGTTCACATTACCAGTCCATTGTAAAGATTAGTAAGCATGTTTGATCATTAATATCATAACATTTTGGGCATAAAATCTATTAAATATAAAACAAAAATAAGATGCATTGCTCAAACAAAATCAACTCTGCTTCCACTAATAGTTTTCCACTAAAAGTTTTAGGTTAAATTTTTAGTGCAATTGAATGCTTCAGGTTCTGCAGTCTAAAATCCGTATGTAGAACACTACTGATATTAGTTTAATATGGAGGTTATATATTGTTTCAGGTGGCAGAACGAGCCTTGTACTACTGGAACAATGAGTATATCATGAGTCTGATTGAGGAGAACTCCAGTGTCATCCTGCCTATCATGTTTGCCAGTCTCTACAGGATCTCCAAAGAGCACTGGAACCCGTGAGTTTTATATTGTCATTTATTTATATGTATTTATTTTTTTAATAAAAACAATTAATATGTACCATTTAAAATTTGGGGTCAATAAGATTTTTTTAAACTCTCTTATGCTCACCAAGTCTGCATTTATTTGATCAAATACAGTGAAAACCGTAACATTGTGAAACTACTATTTAAAACAAGTTTTCTATATGAATATATTTAAAAAATGTAATTAATTTCTGTGATGCAATGCTGAATTTTCAGCATCATTACTCCAGTCACATGATCCTTCAGAAATCATACTAATATGCTGATTGAATCAACATTTCTTCTTCTTAACCTTTGTTTGACGAGGCAAGTCGCTTAAGAACAAATTCTTATTTACAACAGCATCCTGGCAGGAGAATATCATATCATAATAATTGTACGCATACAATTCACCAACACACAAAAACACAAAAGTTAAAACATTATCAATGATGAAAACAGTTGTGTTATTGTTTATGGAAATCATAATAGATTTTTTTTTTCAGGATACTTTGAATAGAAACCTCAAATGAAAAGCAATTATTTGAAATAGAAATCTTCTGTGACATTATAAATGTATTTGCTGTAATTTTTGATCAATTATATATAGAATATAGCCCTACTGAGAAAAAAAAAATCACTTTTTAAAGTATATATTGTTATTAAATTTTTGATCAGAAGGTCTGATCAATAATAAGCATGATCTAGTTGTAACTGGTATTGACTCTTTGCACACATTCCTGTGGTTTGATGTTCATCGTGTTTGCTTTCCTCCACCATCAGGGCAATATCAGCTTTGATCTACAATGTGCTCAAAGCATTCATGGAGATGAACAGCGCCTTGTTTGACGAACTTGCCGCCAATTACAAATCAGACAGGCAAAGGTAAGAAACAAACAATGCAGTGTTGTAAACTCCTGCAGTTTACAGAGCGGCTCAGTTAACCTCTACCTATCTTTCCTTCAGGGAAAGGAAGAAGGACAAGGAGCGTGAGGACCTATGGAGGAAGCTGGAGGAGCTGGAGCTCAGACGGGGCATCCAGAACAGCGACGGCGTCATTCCCACCTAACACGGACCTCGTTTCCACCCTTCTGTGTGGCCCCAACAATCCCTTTTTACTCTGCCACAGGGACCCCGTCCCCTATTTGCTTCTCATGCTGCGTACTTTACCGCACACTCCCTCGTTCATTTCCTCCCTTTCAACAGCACTGTAAATAATCCTCTCCCTCTTTCCTGTATCATACTGCTACACTGAAAGGAAGAAGAAAAAACAGAAAATTTGAAGAGAGACTTAATGTGCACTCCTTGTTGTAAAAAATATGGTAAAATGATAATCAACTATGGTCAAAGGATATATTTTAAAAAACCTTTTCAGTTCAGAAATTGTTCAGCGTCTCCATGTCAGTATATTGTTCTCAAGGAAGTGCCCTGGGACATAGGGATCTGTGCTCACCCTGCAATTAAAGATGTCTTATGTGAGGATCCCGTGGCCACCACGTCTTTTTTTTTGTTGTCCCTTATGAAGAGAGACTTTTCCATCTAGACATAATTTGACTCCCCTGACTCAGGGGACACAAACCAGAAACCCATGACGTGAATATAAGGAAAACAGGAGTGGAGAGAAAAAAACAAACATTGAACATCCTCTCTGTGGTGTGCATTTTTTTTCTTTTACAGGATGATCGGTCCAGTCCTTTACTGTACAGTATGGACAGGTATCCATAACGGTGCGAAGTGGGCCGCAGTCGGCTACGGTGGTTATCTTCGTTCAATAAAGAGGACAAACCTCTCCGAGGACCTTTATTTTTTTAACTTGTGAACCAGGTAATGATCTGGTCATAGTTTCATGCTGTCTGCTGTGGAGACTCTTGGGAATTCCAATGTGGAAATTCAGTAGTTACCAAGAGTACGTCAAGCTCGGTTTCTCCGACACTAGCAAGGACTCGTGGAATTTCAGTGGCACACAGTGTTCAGAGCTCATCCAGTGTTTTTAAAACCGTTAAGTGATATATATTTTTCGTAAAGAATATTCTGGACTGCTTCTCATGGGCCGCCCAGATTTCCACTGCTCGGCTCTGTTCGTTTTGATTTCAGGGTGGGTGGATGTCGTCTACATGACCGAGCTGAGCGAGACAAGGTTTTTCTTTCTTTTCATGGAGTGTTTGAAATGAAATCCTGCTTATGGGGTGGTTTTTAGGGCCTATGTAGGTAAACGCTGATCCGGTAGGTCATAATCTCTTCTGAAATACCAGCCGCCAGGGCAGGTTAGAACTAAAAAGCACTTTGAGTTCTAGCTCATTAGTTGTTCTCGTGGGACTTCAGCCCCTTCTCTTCTTTTATTTGAAGTCTCAACACT